CACAGCCCCGCCCCAATGGAGAGTATCTGGGGTGCAGGGGTTTGGGTGCTGGGGGTGAAGCTGGGATGCCCTGCCCCAAAAAGCGTCCATTCCCTGTCCAGGAGCAAAGCCAGAGTCAAGCCAGCTGGACACCAGCCCCATCCCAGGCCCACTTTGCCCCAGAATTGCCCCAAACCGCAGAAAACAGCGCTGCTCACGGCAGAGAGAGAGTGACCCAGCTGAGCATCCCTCCGCCGCGACCTCACCCCCTTCCTGCTCTCTTTCAGCCGTTTCCCGGCGAGTCTGCAACGGCAGCGAAGGGCTCCGGCACCGTCCCGCCGCGGTTGCAGGGGTTGGCCCTCGTACGCAGCTCGGGGATCCTTGGGAGGCTCTTTCAGCACCCACCCCAGGTGCCACTCGTGGGGGACCGCGACCAGGAGCGAGTGCACGACAGGCACCCCAAAGACTGAACGCAGTAACGTGACCGAGGAAATATTTCTCTTGGCAGGTTTTCCCCTTCATCCATCGACCCGCGGTTACCCACTCGTTTCCCTCCTGCCACACAACAGGCAGGTGCTGGTTTACGTACAGATGCCTGGATCTGGTATAAAACGCACACGCGGGGGTTGATTTTTGGTCTGGTCGGGCGTCTCCGCAGCCGTGACGGTGGGGAGGACCGCGGGGACAGAGGGGAGCTGGGTTGGGGTGGAATCCGTCTCGGCAGCAAGAGGCGAAGGGTGACGACAGGGTCAGCTGGATGGCAAAAGGGCTTTTAACAGAAACCACTCGGTGTCCAGCAGCTTAACTCCGGCGTCCTTTCCCTGCCGCTGTCTTTTGTCCTGTTTGTGCCTCTGCTCAGGACTGTCGGAGACAGAGGGAGCAGCACGTGGGATGTGCGACGGACCAAACCCTCCTGCGGCGACACCGCCTCTTCCCGGCATACCGCGGGATTCTTGGAAAACAGGAGAAGCCAGAAGAAACGACTGGAGGTGCCTGGTCCAACAAAAACACGGAGCTTTGTTGTCACCTCCAGCATCCAAGGCGTGAGTGAACTTTTGGCCAGGCTTAGGTGAGCGGAGCAGGGAAAGCCTTTCTGGAGTCAGCGCTTTGAAAGCAAAAGGAGAGCCGACGGAGCGGCTATTGTTTAATGAATAACCATGGAAATAACAGGATGCACGAGCTTCCTCCAGCAGGTACTGCTTACACACAGGTCCAGGCCTGCATCCAAGAGCAGATCTCCTCCGAAATCGATTTCAGTTTCGATCTCTGCATGGCACAGGCTCCCGCTACAACGAGCTACAGCGTCTTCAAGCGGAGAAGACACCTTCTGATTTACAAGACCAGCATTGCTTCGGTGATGGCTGGTAGAGAAATGCAGCTCCGGATGGCTCCTTAACAGAAGGGAAGAGAAGAAAGCAAGCCTCAAGGCTTTTTTTGTTGCTGTTACAAATTTAATTTCAGTGTTAAAAATGCCCTCCGGTTTGAATCGGACCGAAACCAAACCAGAGCAGTTCTTCACATGCCGTCTCTCCTCATCCCTTGTGGCTTGCTGCAGGGAGAAGGGAAACAGCATCTGGGGAAACCCGTCTGCTGTGAGTGAGGAGAATCGGTTCAGGTGGGACAGAGGGCAGCTGCCTCCCAGGGCTGACAGCGACTTCTTCCCCACTAAAACCGGCTCCGGGCAAAAGTCCATTTTCTAGGAATAGAAAGTGTTTCTTTGGGTACTTTTCAGTGTCACGTTTCCTCTTCTGGTGGATCAGAGGTATTTCACTGTGGCATGCCATGAAGGAAGTCCTGGAAGTTTGGTCACTGGAGGCGTTTTCCTGGCGCCAGAGCTGATGGAGGGGTAATGCTCAAAGGAAAGCCACCCTGCCCGACACAGTTTACACAGTGCGTATTCCTCTGCGTGGCCATGCAGGTTGTGCTAGCAGCTCTTGGAGGGCAAAGCAGGGCTGGAGAAAAGGTCTCACCCCTCCTTGCAGAGAGCCCCGAGAGTTCCTCTTGGAGTTGGTCTGAAATCCTGCTCCAATATCCACCTGATCTCAGAGCTGGGATGTGAGAACAGGCCATGTCCCAAGCTCAGGACGGCTCCAGGGCGCAGGGGGTCTCTGGGGAGCTGGCGGGATGCGTTAGAGCCGGATGGGCTATTCTGGAAGCGCTGGGAAAACGGTGAGCGGTGTCAGGGAGCCGAAGCGCTGCTGCGTGCAAGAGTGGCAAAGGTAGCCACCTGCGTCTCTGCTGCCGTTGCTCTGTGGGGGAAAGAGAGGAGATTTGAGAGAAGAGGAAAGCTGGAGGAAGACAACTTCTGCTCCCAACCTCGCATGTAACCCCCTCATGTCCAGGGAGGAGAGCAGCGTTGTGCCCGAAGCACCTCCTGCCACCCCCCTTGCAAGGAAATCCCTTCGGGGACAGCTTGTTCAACAGCTGCAACAACCAAAACATCCCTCTGCGCGTCTTTGCTGGTGGAGGACGAGGTTTTCCCCATCCCATGTCCCTTGCTGACAGCTCAGAGCCACCTGCCATCTCTCGTGGAGACGGAGCTCCGGCAGATTAACGGCGCACCTGCGCTGCAGGTCAACTTTCAGAACAAGACAGTAGTATTCGACGTAGGCCAGACGTTTTGTGTGTGTCAGGGTGACAAACCAAAGCGTCGCAGCGTTAACTCTCAGAATAATACAGCAGCTGAGGTGTTTTCTAGGTGCGGTAAGCTCTTCTGACAATGCTGCTTTTGATGATGTTAAGCTGTTTTGACGACGTTCTGTGCACGTTGCCAATTTAGCAAGAAAACTCAGGGTTTGGAAGACTTGATAACAAGAGATGGGCCCTCTTGCTTATCACAAGCGGAAGGGTACACGCTCATTAGTACCTCAGCAATGTCCTTATCAGCTAAGGATTGTTATGGTAGAGCAGCAGATGTTGAAAAATCCAGTCCTGTTTGCGAACTTTGCTCGCTAAAAGCTCACCGTAATGCTAAAAATCACACCCACAGGTCAAAAAGACCTTTGCCCAGGGGAAGCCCCTTCCCCTGAACGTGTGTGACAGTGGAAGCAATGTGTCAGCAGTATTATAAATGTATGTAAATTACTAACCATCATTGCAAAAGGGGGTGGGCTTGGAAAATTACCCAGTTTTCCAAACCCAATAACCTTGAAAAGTTTTGTGTATTAACACAGCACAAAGAACCCTGTTTGGTGTGCATGCCGACAGGGGATCTCCCTCGTGCACCCAGCGCTGCAATAAACCAACGTCGGCTTTCTAAATTGTCATTTGGTTTGGGGAGAGTTTTCTTGGTTACAGTTTTCGGGGACTTTCCCAGCGCGAGGGAAATGTGGGCCTTTGCTGCACCTTCTGGACAAGGATGAGCCGCAGAGCCAGAATCACAGAATCTTTGGGTTGGAAAAAAGCTTTAAGATCATGTAGTCCAACCCAAGAAGGTAGGACCGAAGCCAAAACTGGACCTCAAACTCAGACTGTCACTTCCAGTCGGCTGGCAGGGGCGAGAGGTGCTCTGCTAACCTCAAAACGGGTGTTCAGCGGCCTGGATGGAGGCTCCGAGTCAGAAACGGGATCTGACACAACAAAACTGTATCCTGGGCTGTATCAGGAGGAGTGTGGCCAGGGGGGCGAGGGAGGGGATTCTCCCCGTGTACTCTGCTCTTGTGAGACCCCACCTGGAGTGCTGCGTCCAGCTGTGGAGCCCTCAACATCAGAAGGATATAGACTGGTTGGAGCAAGTCCAGAGGA